ACGTGGCAACAAATGAAGAAAACTGGGAAGTTCAATTGTTTGAAGAGTATCTACACCAACTACATGGAATGGGGATGTATCGGGTGCCAGCCGAAGCACCGTACACAGATTATGTGTCACGGGATTCCGTCTTATATTGGGGATTTTGTCTATCGGCAAAATGCGCGTCGTTTAAAACAAACACAGGCAGAAATTGAAAAAGATAGGCAAATAAAGATAACCTGAGAGCAACATTCGTAATTGTGGATGTGTGGTGTGTTGCCGCATTGTATGCTAGAACTAGTCTGTTTTAAACATTTGCGCATAAAAAATATCTCTGTTTCATAAAAGTTATTTATGCATTGCATCTCCAGTGTTTAGATCAAAACTTCGTTATTATTGCGCTAATTAACGGTGTTCTCAACTTGTTGTAATTTCTCGCGATATAAAGGTCAGCAGTAATAATTTCTTATTAAATGTATTTTTGTCTCAATGTGACACATAAGTGGTGATTTCAACTTTTAGCAGAATATTAATTTCACTACATCGGTAGGCCTATTCAATCATTTTTAACGTTTGATCTTAATTGTGACTGCACGATGTGCAGGAGCGAGATAATCTGTTTTGACTTGGCAGTCGTCGTTATCAGGGCTGCTATAATGCAGCTCGCATAAAAACCGCGTTCGGTAGTTTACATACGCGGAGTTTCAGCAGGAAGTTTAGCAGCCGCGCGCTGTTATCAGGGCTGCTATATGCAAGCCCGCATAAAAACCGGTTCGTAGTTTACATACGCGGAGTTTGGCAGGAAGTTAGCAGTCGCACGCTGTTATCAGGACTGCTCATAATTGCATTCCGCATAAAAACCGGTTCGCTAGTTTACATGCGCGAGTTTGAGCAGGAAGTTAGCAGTAGCGCGCTGTTATCAGGGCTGCTATAATGCAGCCCGCATAAAAACCGCGTTCGTAGTTTACATACGCGGAGTTTGACAGGAACGTTACCGCAAGTGCGCGCTGTATCGGGTGCTTCTATAATGCCAAGGCCCGCATAACGTAATAGTTTTGGCAATGTCTCAGCTTTTGTTGAACTATCATTATAGGCAGTGTTATCATAGGCTGGCCACTGTAGCTTAGCTACTAATAGTACATGGAGTGTATTTTGGGGCATGCATTGTTGTCAGAATTGCACGTTTGTGCCTAAGAACTAACGGCAGAATCTATGGTTGGTTGGAGTACTGCTAATGTAAAATGCTATATTTGTTTTACTAACTGCACTTTTCTTGCATGAAAACACATTCACCTACACTTTGTATTTCACCTAAGAAACAGCAACAATTGTTAAATAAGAAGCTTCTTTTCGACATAAATTCTGGCAAGTTGCTAATATATTTATGAATGCTTACCCATTTTTTGTAAAGAGTATTTACACGTTGTGCAATTGAAGTCTCAACTTTTACCCCGAAACATAAACATCTGAAGCAGCAGAAGAAATGGCGCCAAATTTATAGTTAGATTACCTCATCTTTTAGCCGATTTTTTAAGCCTTTTGGTGCCAACATTTACCATAAATTGCGAAAAACCATTAGCAGAGAAATTCTCATTTCCAAGAATTCAAAAGTATTTCCATGTGTCATGCACACACTGCAGGGTTGCGCAAATCCATGGGGGGACAGGTGGACAATGTCCCCCCGAATTTTCAGCAGGGGGACATCATATCAAATGGTCCCCCACGATTTTTGAATCACCATGATTTTTGTGTGTAGGTGTGCGCTGTGTGTGTTTGTTGCAGTGACGAACTTTTTTGATTGTGTGTTGATAGTGCGTCACACGATTGGCTTCTTTCGCTTTTTGCCATGCTTTCATGTATTCAAGTGCATGTTTAGAGGCATAAATAAGGTCATGCACAACTTAAGAAAATCTGTGTCTCCTGATAAATTTAGTCACGCGTTTCTGTTTTATACACTGTTATTTTTTCTTATATAAATAATCTTATCGCAGAAATTCATCAAGACAAGTGCCGTCAGAGCGACAGCGCTCATCGTAACCGTCTATCTGCGGTGACGTTCTGTGGTGGACGTGTGGGATTCTAGTAAACCCTGTTAGTCCCAACATGTGTTCACATAACACGGCCGAAAACAAGTGGAATGCACAAGGGAAGTGGCTAGTCAGGAACGCTTCTTCACAAGAGAATGCGTTCGAGGATCGTTATGAAAGAGTTGCACGAGATGGCGCGTACGTTTTAAGTGTTCAGATTAAAGGATGGAAGTCTCCATCAGACGTAGTGCAACAACTATCTGCAAGACAGAATTAGGTAAGCACTCATCCATTTAACCTACTGCAAGCCTACAGCGCTGCGCAATAGAGAGCTGCCACCTGTAACACTATTAGGCAAAAACTCCACTCAGCTACCACAACACATTGCACTTGGCCAGTAGCCACTGGCAGTGGCCCATACGTTACATGTAACTACTGACACTACAGAATGCCCCATATAAATTATACGATTTAAGAGCACATAAACCTTCTTCTAACAAAATTTAGCCTTTTGAAATTTCACTGCTGCACATTGTAGCCTCATACATCCAGGCATGTATAGATTCTCACTAGCAACCGGCAGTCACAATTCTTTCTAACAGACAGTTAACAAATCCATGTTTAACCCTCCTCTGAGGCGTCAAAAGGTTATCTTGACACTTACTCTTTCGCATGTTCAGCGAAAGTAGATTTCATGGTCTTCTCAATAATGCCCTAAAAATGCTCAGCGTCACGCTGAACAAAAAAGTTTTTCAATCGCTCGTTCAGCACCATGTCCTCAGAAATGTCTAAAATCTGCCTGTGCCATTGAACCTTTAACCTGCCTGATCCTCAATTTCGGCACAGTGTGCCTTTTCCTACCATGATGCCTATAACACCGACTATCACGAGCCTAGGTCGAGCCGTTTAGATTTGCTGCCGCAATTCTGCATTTCCCCTAGACCTAAGTTAAGGAGTGATCGTTCCGCCTCTTTTACTTCTCTTTGCACTTTGACCTTTGGACCCCCAGCTTCGAACAGCCCACTCGTTTTGACGCATCCCCCCCCCAATCGGGCCGAATAAATTTTTTCGGCTGACCGTACGCTCGACGCGCCGTTAAGATTTGTGGCCCAACTGTTGCGACGCGACGACGGCGACGACGCGACGGGACGATCAAGCGATTCTACATAGCTGGCATCTGACTATGTCAGATGACGCTAAAAAAGTATGTTTATGAAAGTTTAGGCAGATAATCACTCACATTAGAAACCCACTGATTTCAATGCGATTAAGTTGGAACACGAGCTAATTCACGCCAAGAGGACACGAGTAACTTAGAGCATCGGGTTTTAATAATGTAATTTTCATTGCAAATGTGATGAATACTATATACACGCCATATATGATATGACTGACACAACAATAATAACGGACCAATATAGTTTTGTTGTCCACGCCTCAACACCAAATGATTCTTTGGTTTCTTCCTGCCTTTTTTGTTTTCTTGATTTTTATGAAACTGCATGGCGACACCTTTTTTTCGTCAATCTTATTACCAAACCAAATGCAAATCGTGATGTGTGTGTGTGTGTGTGTGTGTGCTGGTGTGTGTGCGTGTGTGTGTGTGTGTGTGTGGTGTGTTGCTGCAGGGGCGATGTACAGGGGGGGTCCACGGGTCGGCGACCCCCCCCTCTACTTCGCCAGGAAAACGCATTGAAGGGTCTAATTTCAAAAATTTCAGGCACCCACTTCGCGTCTCGCTACCCGGTGTTCCCCCACATTTCAAAATGGATTGCGCGCCTGCAAACACGCACGCCAACGCACGTGTGTGGGTGTGCGTATGTAGGCCTATGTGTGTGTAAATAAAAACATGCGGATATATATACATTGAGGGAGGCGAGAGAAAGAGAGAGGAGGTGGAAGCGAGACGGATGGAAAAAGAAGGAAAGCGGGGGAACAGTAAGGAATGTGATTGATAGCGAGAGGGAGAGAGAGAGAGTGAGAGTCGGGAACGAAAAGAGATGTAAGCCAGAGGAAGGGAAAATGAGAGCGAGAGAAAGACGTGTGATCGAAAAACCGAAGAACGTGAGCGTGAAAATAGGGTGATAGTTATACAGTTGACGGAATGACAAAGGCGACAGACATTACAGCCTGCACACGCGGCATCCGTTAACGGTTGAACGCTCGAACGGACTAGCTCCAGCGACTTCTCGCTCCTTACTGACTAAAGCAAAACACATCGATAGAGACGTGCTCTAGATATACGATGTCACACTGGTGCGGTTGATGTAGACCTGCGTGGTTTCTGCGGGTTCTTCATAAGCCTAGCCGCTTGTCACCTGTAGTAAATCCATGGCTGAACGTGAAGTTCGATAATTGCTAAAAAGTAAAAACGTCCAAGAAATTAGAGAACCGTTCAATACGACTTTGCGTGTTAATAAACAAAACTATTACTAACAATGTACTACTAAAAATAGCCATCAAAAGTATATATCTACTAGATATATCAAATCAGATTATCAAATCACTGTCAAAGTCACTTATCAAATCACTGTCATCAGATCAAGTCATCAGATCAAGTCATCAGATCAATCAATCACTCTCATCAGATCAAATCACCGTCTCAGAAATTAGAGAACCGTTCAATACGACTTTGCGTGCAATAGTAATAGTAATAGTAATAGTAATAGTAATAGTAAACAAAACTATTACTAACAATGTACTACTAAAAATAACCATCAAAAGTATATATCTACTAGATATATCAAATCAGATAACCAAATCACTGTCAAGTCACTTATCAAATCATCAAATCAAATCAAGAATTATCAAATCACTGTTAGTACGTCGGTGATTGAAAATATCTCTTGTCTGATTAGTCATAATTTCACGTGAATTGGTCGACTCATCTCGTCAACAAGCTTTACCTAGCTCGTGTCCCAGTCTGTGGAGTCCAATACCGTAGCGTCGAATCTGATATGATATGTGTCCACTAATGTGACAGCCATCATGCGGTAACTATTATTATTTGATTTGGGTAAGTACGCGAAATCGCGCGTTCGTATGCTTGACTCTTGAGTAAGCTTCAAAGTTCGGATACCCAAGATGTCCCCACCTCTTCCTGCGTAGACACACTATGATGCCCCATTAAAACAGAAACAACAGCAGTAGTAATGATAACAACGACAACAACAACAACAACAACAACAACAGTATAGGACTGCATGCACAAGAGTAAAGTAATATAACAGAGTTTCATCGCGAGTTTTATTATCATACCTGGAATTATTTGATATATATACGCCGAGATTATAAGAACGAAAAAATTGAAATTAAAATAAAAAATTAAAATAAAAAATTAAAATTAAAATTAAAAATTAAAATTAAAATAAAAAATTAATTAATTAAAAAATAAATAATTAATTAATTAATTAAACATTAGGACTATAGATCGATACCCCATCCCCTGTGGGTTTTCGGACTAGTGGGTTTTCGGACTATTGGGCCGTAGGACTAGCGAGCAGTCACCTCGCGTATCAGGTTCATTCGCCAGACAACCCTGGGCCTAGCCTCACAGCCCACATAGCCAATCGCTGCATTGCGCACCGCTGGGGACACCAATCCAAATGCGAATTATCACACTACGTATATGCCTATTATCAGGAGCGTATAATGACAAATATATTTGACAAATGACAAATGACAAATGACAATGACAAATGACAAATGACAATGACAAATGACAATGACAAATGACAATGACAATGACAATGACAATGACAATGACAATGACAAATGACAAAATATAACGACAATATATTTGTCATTATACGCTCCTGCTATTATATATGGGCAAGCTCGCGTCTGTCGACATCAACTGACTATATTATGTGTGAGAAAACCCATTATAACAGCGTTAAGCACATACCTATACATTATTTAAGTTATATAGACAATTAGATATAGAAACGAGTATGTTTGTTTGGCCGTGCGTGCATGCGCGCCCGCGTGTCTGTACGTGGGGCTGGGTCGGGGTATTCGTGTGTACGTGCTTGTGTGCATGTGTGCCCGCATGCGTGTGTTCGTGCGTGTGTATACGTATAGCGTGTTTTTGCGTAGATGTAGACGCGAGGCGGCTGTTGTACGTTATCTCACCGCCTTACCTTTCTATAGGTTAAGCAAGACGACGCGCCGGAGGTGCGAGGCGCGTGGGGAAATCAAGCCGAATTTTTCTTTACCTGCGTCGCCTATTCCGTTGGACTGGGAAATGTGTGGCGCTTTCCATATTTGGTATACAAAAATGGCGGAGGTAATACGATTGCGTGAAGGTGCTGCGTTATCGTTGCCTGTATCGCGTATACCTGTTTGCATAATCCTCCAATAGAGTACAAGATACTGCCGTAACTAGAAGTTCGTGTGGATAAATATATATCATACGTGCGAATACCACTTAATCCTTGGCCTAACATATTATATTGCATTTTAAAGACGCATGTTTTTGTTAGCTTTGCGATATTCGGCAATTGAAGATATACTTTTCGTTTGATAAAGGAGCTGGCACAGTAGCGCGTTAACTGTAATCGCTATACGCGCGATGAGAGCTGTGTATCTATCTGTACAATATAGTGCTCTACAGATCTAGAGGCCTCGGCCAGACAGCTTTTAAATATGTTAATCTCCCACGATGGACTGCCGCCCAATCGCGAAGAATAGATGGAAATTCCTTGCCCTATGTCGTCGAGAGGCGTTCCCGCAGACACGCCATATTATTTCGTCAGAACGGCCACTCAATATCAGTACGATCTGCAGTACGATCTAACGAAACGTTACCGCTTGCGTATTCGGGTTTAGAAGTATATATTGACGGTTGTCTTTACAGAAGCCTTTGTGATAAGCATATTGCATAATGATGATTGATGTTTGTCTGGTTTGTGAATATATCCTAAACAAATGTTTTGCAGGAGCCTTTCTGATACCATACTGTATAATGTTGGTTTTCGTCGGAATGCCGATATTTTTGATGGAGATTTCACTAGGACAGTTTGCGAGTATCGGGCCCATCGGCATATGGAAAATATGCCCTATTTTCAGAGGTAATACACTTCGTAAGTTATGAGACAATTATGAATGATGAGACACATTTTTCAGACGCAACGTGTTATAACATTAATGTTTGATTACACCCCAATTAAAATGTTATCAAATGTGAAGAAATTGTACTCAGTAAACCATCATTAAATTTTTTTCTAATACACGCGCGTACATACACCTATACACAACAGCGCACATGCACACGCGTGCACACGCACACGCACACGCATATGCGCACACATACACGCACACACACGAACACGCGCTCACTCACACACACACACACACGCACGTATGCACACGCACACGCATACGCATACGTCCACGTACACGGACGCACAAGCACACGCACACGCACACGCACGCATACGCACTCACCTCCACCCAAACACAAACACACACACACACACACACACACACACACACACACACACACACACACACACACACACACACACACACACACACACACACACACACACACACACACACACACACACACACACACACCACACACACAGCACCCCCCGCCGGCGCGCGTCGCGCGACACGCCATATGACGCGACACACGCACACGACGCACACACACGCGCAGCGCACACACACACACACACACACACCACACCACACACACACACAAACACTACACACACACAACACACACCACACACACACACACACACACACACACACACTACACACACACACACACACACACGACGCGCGCGCGCGCGCATGTACGAATAGACGCAAACACACGCGCACGCATGCGCAAACACGGACATTGTAGTAAAGTCTAAGATGGTTAAATCTCCTACTAAATCATGTATTCCTTGATTGTGAAAACAGTAGCACACTATTATCTAAACCATTTCATACAAAAATAACTAAAAATGACCTAATTTGTCGCTAACATTATATGAGAATATACGACAAGTAGGTTGCGGGAATCTAACCTTTGTACCTTTGCCGTTAGAGGCAGAAGTCGCCTGGTCAAAGTTTCGACTATAAACCTAGATATACCGTATATATATAGTATAGTATATTATATAATATATAGATATATATACTAATATATATATGGTGTGTGTGTGTGTGTGTTGTGTGTGTGTGTGTGTGGTGTGTTGTGCGTGGCGTGCGTGCGTGCGTGCGTGTGCGTGTGTGTGTGTGTGTGTGTGTGTGTGTGGTGTGTGGTGTGTGTGTGTGTGTTGTGGTGTGTGTGCGTGCGTGCGTGAGTATTGTGTGTGTGTGTGTGTGTGTGTGTGTGTGTGTTGTGTGTGTGTGTGTGTGTGTGTCACGCTACACGAGAGACTTGCATAAAAATTAGCGATTCTCCCGCTTCGCTGGTCGCTATCTAAATTTAGAACTTTTTTCCGGGTGCAAAAAAAGCATAAATAAATAATAATTTAAATAATAAAAAATAAAAAAAAAATTATAAAAAAAAAAAAAAAACAAAAAAATATAGAAATGAATAGATATAAATGAAAAATAAATGATAAAAATAAAAAGATAAAAAAATATATAAAAATAAAAAAATTTAAATAAATAAACGAAAACAATAAAAAATAATTCTAAAATACTAAAAATAAATAAATAAAATATGAATATTAATAATAATAATAATAAAAGTGGAAGTAAAATCATGAATAATAAATAAAAATATATGATAAAAAACATTATGATAAAAAATACAAATAAAAAAAAAATAATTAAAAAAATATCTAAAAATATGAAAATACAATTTAAAATTTATTTTTTAAATTAAAAATAAACATATAATAATCAAAAAAATATACAAATTAAAATTATTATATAAAATTAAATGAAAATTCAATAAAATAAATCACAAAGAAATAATAAAAATTAAAATAAATAAAACATATAAAAAAAAAAAAATTAACAAATAAATATAGAAGGAATGAGTAAAAATAATATATATATTGAAAAAAAAAAAATGACAATCAAAAATTAAAAGAAACAAACATGAAAACAAAAACCATCTAACTTAGTCGTACGACCACCATAACACGTGCACAAGAAAATCAAATACGAACTTAACTATCATAAAATACGTAGTGAGCATAGTTAATAAAAACAAGGTAGAAAAACAAGTCACTAAAAACCACATGGCAATTACACAAAAATGGTAGAATCTAAAACTAATAAGAAAAAAAATAAAACATCTTCAAAGAGTAACTTTAGCCTACAATCACATAATAAAAACAAAACAATACCTCATTACACCTCAGAAATAACATATCGAATCTAGGTAAAAAATAAAAATAAAAATTCACCACAATCCTCTTAAACTTATATTAATTATAATCTCTATAACAAAAATTATAAGTATAAATAACAAAATATAGAATAAAAAACAAAGGCCTAAGAAAGTGTGAAAACTATAATGAATGAATATAATTAAATATATAATAAATAAAAAAATATAGAAATAATTAATTAAAAAAAAAAATCTAGAACAAATATAAATTCAAAAAATATATCAACAAAATCATAAAAAAGAAAATGATGAATTAGTAATGGAATAATGGATAACAAAAAAAAAATACGAAAAAATAATAAAATAATAAAAAATGATATGACATCCACACACCGAAAATAAATGAATATAAAAAAATTAAGCAATCGTAAATATTCGGATTACTCGATGCTTTGGGCAGTCGTTCGTTTGCTTAGTACGCATTAATTACAGGCTCTTCCGAGCTAGAATGCAGAGAGCGAGGACGAAGCCTCAAAACACGGGTGCATATGCGCGTAGCTATATATATACCATCGCATGAAATCTACTGAGTGTTATTTTGTTGTATTTTATGATTGCCTCAACCAGTAAGTCTACGCCTTTCATTAGATGATAAGTGTCATTGCAACGTGCTCTTAATACCGCCCGCCTATTGCTACTCCAGGTCTTGGAATAGCGTCGGTTGTGATAGAATTGACGGTGGCCCTCTACTACAACGTCATCATAGCCTACTCCATCTACTTTCTGTTCGACTCCATGAGAGCAGAAGTGCCGTGGGATAACTGTGATAACCCGTGGAACACCCCAAGCTGCCAGATTAATAGCACCCAAGATGGAGCTAATAGCACCCAACAATTTACTCCAGCTGAAGAATATTTTTAGTACGCATCAAAGTTGGAATAACATTTTAATTAGTGAATCGCTGCTACTAGATGTAAATGTACCATGTGTCTACTACAATGCGTTCTCATGCGCAGTTTGATAGAACAATGTACAAGAATATAGGTTGCGGGGCCACCTCACTCACTAGAATGCATGCCACATTAAGTCCTCAAATTGCCTGAATTAAGAGGGATATACTATATTGATCGGCAGCGTTACTCTAAACCGTCAGGCTATATTTTAACCGAGCGATTGTATAGGTAGTTGTAGATGGCACATTACTATAATACACATCCTCTACTCTTCCATTGCAATAGCAATAAAGTCCTCAATATATCGAGTGGGATAGACGACCCCGGTGACATCCAACCAATGCTGGTGGCAACATTAGCCGTGGCATGGCTCATAGTATTTCTGGTTCTCATTAAAGGTGTTGGATCTATGGGAAAGGTACGAATCGGGGAGAGTGTATCTAAAACGATTCATCTCCTGTTATATTCTCAATTTATAATATTAGATTCCTATTCGAATATTTATGATCAAATCGATTCACTCGACACGTGATTTGTCACATCCCCGTATAATACACCGTATATAATGTTACCATTATGCTTCTCCACATGCACCAATTCCCATCCTACTCTCCATTCTATCGCCCCTCAGCAGTATCTCCGCCTATTGCAAAACAAATCCCATACCTGTTACATTTCCTGTCGCATGCATGCAGCCATTACAACCGACCCTCACTCTCCATCACGTTGTTTTCCCCGCCTGCATGGTCACCCACTGCCAACGTTACATACTCGAAACCTACCTTCTATTGTTTTTATGCAACATGGGCTAGATACGCAACGTCAAGCCAGCCAGCTTTCTTGCAGTCGTAAAATATATCGATACGGAGTCGGTTCGTGTAATTATATTAACGTTTTGTAACATGGCGCAGGTGGTTTATTTCGTTGCCACTTTCCCCTATGTCATGCTGACCGCTCTGCTCATAAACGGACTGATGTTAGATGGAGCTATTGACGGCATCCTGTACTTCCTTAGACCCGAGTGGGACAGACTTATAGAGATGAAGGTAATTTGCGATGACCCAAAGACTTGATTGTTATTTGCGTGATTTTTTTTGCTTTTGGTAGAATAGTACGACAATCGAACAAAATATGTACAGATAAATATTGAATAATATATATATGCAAAATATAGAAAAATATATAAAGAAACCTTCCTCACTAAATTATAGATGAACACATGGGCAAAATGCAGAGAAATGCACAAATAAATATAAATAGCAATATATAGGCTGTGATGAGTAACGCGTTGCCCAATATATATAATTCGTGACGTTAGTCGTCGGTATATGCATGCGCCCCAACATAAGAGCAGCATTGACATGAGCCGCGTTCACACGTAGCAAGAAATCCGGTATTTAGCGTTCACACGAGACAAAATACGAGGCCCGAGAAATACGCTATTAAAACAGATCCGGTATTTCATGTAAATCGAGGCTTCCCAGACCCCGAATAATTTGCGCGTGCTAGAGAAATACCGGATTTCTTGGACCGCGAGCATTTCCTCGTGTGACGCTAAATACGGGTTCTGGAGCCGCGTATTTTATAGACTGCGTCGCGCGCTCGACAGTTCCAGTGTAACGCGAGTGGAACTGTCGAGCGCGTGGACCACTCTACGTATTATCGGCGAGTTGGTGCGCATTGCATTGTTTATTTCGCATTGTTCTCTTGATTATTTAAAGCAGCTCGCAGCTCGCAAATACCGTATTTCTGGAGCCGCGAATCAGCGTGTGAACGCTCGGCCGCGTATTTGTCTCAGATTCGGTATTTCGCAAATACCGTATTTCATAAGCTGTCTAACCGGGTCTATCGTGCGGGGCGGTGTCGGACTAATGCTACTTTACTACGCGGCCGTCAGGTGTGGCGGGATGCAGCCGTGCAGACGTTCTATGCACTCAGCTCCTGCACAGGCGGACTTATAGCCATGTCGAGCTTCAGTAACTTCAATAATAATGTAATAAGGTAGGTAACAACAACGCATATAAAAACATTTACGACAGAGAGAGAGGGAGAGAGAAGGGTGAGCGGGGATGAGAGCGAGAGAGAGAGAGAGAGAGAGAGAGAGAAGAGAAAAAAGAACGAGAGGGACAGCGAGAGAGAGAGGAGAGAGAGGAGGAGAGAGAGAAGAGAGAGAAAGAGAGGGACAGTGAGAGATGAGAGAGGAGAAAGAGAGGGGGACAGCGAGAGATAGAAGAGAGGGGGACATTAAGAGAGAGAAAAGAGAGTGGGACAGCGAGAGAGAGAGAGAGAGAAGAGAGAGAGAAAGAGAGAAAGAGAAAGAGAGGGGGACAGTGAGAGAGAGAGAAGAGAGAGATAGAGAGAGAGAGAGGAGAGAAGAGAGAGAGAAGAGGAGCGAGAGAGAGAGAGAGAGAGAGAGAGAGAAAGAGAGAGAGAGAGAGAGAGAGGGTAAGAGGGGAATGAGAGTTGTAGCGGGAAGGCCTCCGATTAAACACGATTTATGTTTCATTGTAGAGATGCTATAGCGATTCCGTTAATAAGTTTGGGAACCAGTCTCTATGCCGGACTAGTTATATTTTCCGTGCTAGGCTTCATGGCCCTACAAAAAGGAGTGGATGTGGCTGATGTTGCTGAACAAGGTATGGTCTACATCAAACCATTACTTATACAGACGACACCGGGGTTGTGAGTCTATAGACACGACGTATCTTACTGATTCCTTTAAGCGCTGCTGGTTATCTAGTATTGCGCGATTGTTATACGAATTCATGCCATCAACCTTGGCAAAAATGTGAATTCTGACGAAATTAAAAAGGAATACAGTCAATTCTACTCGTAATTCGAATACGAATACAATTTATTTAGTAATAATAATTAATGCCGTTCTGCAAGAATCACTGTATTTTATTTTTTAAATGTTGTCCACCACCACGTTTACAAGCTGCAATATATGTCTGTATCATTAAAACAAATCGCAACAATTCCTTCTTGGTGCACTTACGTTTTCAGGGCCTGGTCTCGTGTTCGTGGTCTACCCAGAAGGAATCGCTCAGATGCCCCTGCCTACATTATGGGCAATTCTCTTTTTCATGATGATGCTCGTGTTGGGCTTCGGAACGCAGGTAGTCCAATTCTAAAAAATTTCACGTACAGCGAGATTTTGTCATTATTAATTAGATTGCATGCCATACACGTGGTATGCTGCGCGCAGCGTCGGAACCATGGAATGACCTGCATTACTTTGTTCTGATACTCTAATCGCGTTGCATATGTCAAAGTTTAGCATGCTATGACACACGCGCACTCACCCTTTACACACATGCACGCACACACGCACGCATGCACGTACGCACGCACGCACACACACACCACAGCACAATAGGTGAGCTGTATGGAGCCCACCCGCACACACACGACCATCAGCGCCACACGACATCAATATACGCCGCTCGACTCACACACACCCACACACCACACCCGCGCGCAGCGCAAGCGCATGCGCGATCACATTTAGAGTAACACATAGCGTAGTATATCTGGCAAGACGTTTCTCTACCAATTCACGTTATCTCCATGAATGGAGACGGGATGTTCGACGCGAACATTGACAGATGATTTCCAGGTCATGCACATGCATGAGCACGCGTGAGCAGAAGAAAACAACGATTCTCAGAAGCTTCCTGCCGGCTGTATGCTGTTTCTAACTTGCGCATGAGTGAACCTGGCTACTCAGTGCGCTCGCTTTTTATAATACCCCTCTAACCAGACACACACACTTCACCCAGACGAGCCCATCGAGCAGGTCAGTAGTGACATCTGATACCGCCCTCACGGTTGTCCGTTGCAGTGCAACTCTGCAGTACTTGGTCATGGCTATACACAGCTCATATGACTATAATTCGTGGTATGTGGCGGTTTGTGTGCAAAGGGGAGCAGTACTAACACCCTCTAGAAATCCCCCATAACTGCTGAAAACCAACTTCTTTAAAACATCTAATACATGCATGCTCGCTTGAAAATGACCAATTTAGTTTCATTAATTACCGAATTTACCTGTATATATAACTGCTCATATATAACTGAGCTGGGAAAGTCTCCCACACAACAACAAACACACAACCAGAGACGAATGACTACGGTCAATCACGTGGATTCGGAAGAGTGCAGGTCCTGCACATTCTCTCCTCAAAGCTCGTTATCGATCCGTGAAAACTGCATCGCGTGTACACCGACTCTACGGTAAGCGGAACTCATCCATATCTCACCGAGATATATATCTAGTAGATACTTGTAATTACCCTAGCAGCTACTTAGCGTTCACAGTAGGATAACGCAAGGGTGGTGCCTGAAAAAACGCGAATATAATACCGACATAATGAAAGATGTTCTAATTTAAAAGCCCAAGATCGGGGCGGCAGAGAAAAGTTACACCCTGACACCCACACACACACACACCACCCCATAGAAATATATGAATGCCTGTTCACTGTCTGCCGTTATATATAATTATCTGCGTTAATAGAGTCAGTTATACATGTTATACCGATGTCAAGGGTACACGTAAATTTTGTGAGGACATTCAGCAAATGATCGACAAAAGCCCAGGAGTTTACTGGCGTATCTGTTGGAGGTTCATTGCCCCAGCCGTCCTATTAGTAAGTATACTTAAATCACAGTCACAGTCACAGATTTATACTCAGTTTGACAGTTCTACATTACTAGCGCAGATATCAATTTGCCGATCTCTACCAACTACTACTCTTTTGAATTCTTACTACTAATCCATCGCATGTTTATTTTTCTAGTTTATTCTCATAATGAGTTTAGTGCAATATCATCCGGTCGTGTACGAAATGCCAAGCGGAGTTTACGAATACCCAGACTGGGCCATGGCGATAGAATGGTCTATCGCTGGAATACCCGTGCTCATTATTATTGTCGTATTCCTGTATACGTTCTGCAAAGGAGGAGCATGGTCGGTAAGTTATTGATATAATTCTTGGTAAACCAGTACCCTGGCTTGCATGCTATCTGAGTCGGTTCCTGTATCACAGCCACCGTAGCTGTTATTTTATACAGCTCAGTGATTACAGCCAACTATTAAATACGGTACGGAGTGCCCTCTGTACGTACGGACAGAATTAAATCCTGCTGTGCAACAATTCGAGGCATCTAGCACTGGCGTGTTCATGATAGCTCGGCATTCTTATATAAGAAGAAATTGAATAGCATCGAGATGATAACATATAATCTTCTGATAATATATGTCTTTAAAAACAAATCGCACGGCTTCCTTCAGAGACCAGGCGTGTACTATCTGCATAGTGTAGACTACAGTCAATAACGCTGGTCTTTCATGTGTTATAGGTCTTGAAAGATATATCTGAGCCAGAGTGGGATTGGGGTCCAGCCGTGGAACAGCGTGAATTACAAAGAGCTACCACATCAGCAACGTTGTTTAAATCAACGAGCGAACTCCTTGGCTGGAACATGGAACTCCACGAAAGAGTTTCGTACACTATGGACGTGGACAATGTGTCCAATGGGCCAATAACCTTCACCTGTGATGACCGCGGTGAAAGATATTAGTTATAGCGGTTGATGTTATCAAGATAATGTAAAGAAGGTGCCGCTATATTTTAGTATCGAATGAAATGTCCGAATATCTATAGGATAGTTTACTCACTCTATATTGTAAGTAGTCTCCGCAACTATGTATACAGGTAGGTTGGTATTATGGGAAAAAAAGACAGTTGTCGTTCAAGAGAAATGGTTCACTTCACACATGGTGCGCTATGTACAAAGAGAATGCTCCGACCACAATCAGCCACTCACAGCGAATGACTCCGATTCCATGCATTTCAATATTGATGCGAATATTATTAACTAGCCAGTCATTCTCCTCTAATTATGTGGACAAAGACAACAGTCTACTGTGATGAAGAGCTGATCTAACTCTGCTATGGATGAACCATAAAAACTTTCATCAAATAACCGCCAAAGTAAATGCAAGACAAATACGTCCACATATTATTTATATACGCATATGCACGCACGATTTTTTATTACGGTCGTGTGAATAGGAAACACTGAGTAGCCTACACGCACGCTCTGCGGTAGCTTTACCGGTGCAGCCCATTTGTTCCCGCTACGGTCGAAACCCTAGAAACAGACAAGGAAGTTTCCGCGCTCTTTCATTCTCGCCAAAGACTTAATTATCTTGATAAATATAACGCAGTAGCTACGCGTCCGGTCATCCATTACAAAGCTCAGCACAGATTCCCAAATCCACGTCACGATTAGGCCACGCCCCCGCCCTTTCAAATCGGTGATTTTACTGGGACTTGATAATTTGCCTTCAAAACGTTACCAAAAACATTTTTTATAGATACCATAAGGTAAGTAATATTATGGTAAAAACTTATTGTTTGATTGTTTTTTACTGAAAAAATATAGTTGGGTTCACATATGAAATATATGACCGGACGCGTAGCCACGGCCTAAATATAATCACCCACTGCACACTCACTGTGAATTATATCAAGACAAATCTAGGATCTCGAAGTCACTGTATTTTAGTTTTACGTGGCAGCATAGCGCTAACACAGAAAAGTCACGTACGCGCCATTTTGTTTGGGATTTACAGCGATATCTTTACGTTTAGTTGGTCCTAGGTTAGATCCCTTGATCTAGATTTTTAGATCGTGGTTTCGTGAATCACAGGATAAAAATATAGGGATACGCGTTTCTTACACTATCACGTTATTTGCGTTGTACATATAGTAATATATGATATCGCATAAATGTGGTTGTCGTCATTGCCTAGGTGAAGATTGTTCTAGCTTAATGAGGTTTTATTTTTAGTCAAAAAACACGGAATCGCCCGTCTTAAAACAGTATGGTGAATAAAACACCTAAATATAAACCGATCGTGCGTATAAATATAATATAGAGAAATCTAGAGAAATCTAGAGAAAATACAGAGTAATGTGTTCAATCGGTCTTCTATTATACACTGTCTCGTCTGGACTGTACAAATTCTGAACTATGCACTATATACTCTACACTATGCAACTGCTGCAAGCCCGAGTCAGTATTTCTGTTTGCTTTTCAATTCCCAGATTAGATACCCTACGCTTGAAAATACTCACAGTGATAAAACGACCAGGACTGATTTTAGCGTTATTTCATTTTTAAACGAATTTTTGTTTATGCCTTGAATTATGTTATGCCTTGAAAGGATCTGTAATATATGGCTTAATTGACACATAACTATATATATATATATTACGTAGATTAGCACCTGTCGTTGGTGTGTGTGTGTGTGTGTGTGTGTGTGTGTGTCGTGTGTGTGTGTGTGTGTGTGTGTGTGTGTGGTGTCCAGCCTGCGTGCGGCCGCGGCGGTGCCTTGGGGCGTGCGGCAGCGCGCGTCAGTGGTTGTGTGTGTGTGTGCGTAAAGTAAATCTGGTATTGAGTGTAAAAATTACTGCTTATGAATGCAAGCACTTGGGTCGTTTCAATAATAAAATGACAATAAATGAACACGAATTGTATTTACTACTAAAGTCCTAATCTCACTGCATGTTCAGAAACTCAAAGAAATATCTTTAGATCTCTAAGCATGCATATACGCTTTCTATTTTCAACACATATATTATATAATAAGATCCTCTCTCTTACTTGTCTCTATCCGTCTCTCTCCATGTCTTTCTTAATCTCTTCCCCTCTTCCCGCCCTCGTTTATCCGCACTCGTGCGCTCATTTTCTTCTCACTTTATATCTATGGCGTGTATTTCGTGTATATAATTATGTTAGGTAAATTTTGCGACGTAAATATTGTATTAACAGATATTAGTATTACGCGACAATATCTCTCTCTTTCTCTCTCTCTCTCTCTCGGCTCTTCTTCTCCCTCTCTCTCTCCTCTCTCTCTCTTTCTCTCGTCTCTAATCTTTTTTCTCTTCTCCCTCCTCTTCTCTCTTTCTCTCTCTCTCTTCTCGCTCTCTCTCTTTCTCATACTATATAATATATATATATAAGGCGATATATATAAGTTATATATATCATATATTTAATAGGAAAGAGAGTTTATAGCGAGTCTCCTTGATTAATCTACTCTTGATTAATTATATATATATATAGTATATATATATATATATTATATGTTACGTTGTAATCTCTACTATAACCTGTAAGTTACCGAGACTGGGCAGTTATAATTATTAAAGCGAATAATTGGCATTTTATTTTTATACTAAAATACTCGTCACTCCGAACTCCTACATTTAACGCATAATTTCAACAAAAATATACATCGTTTGGTATCACAGAGACAGACACCATGAAGGTTATATGTTTTATCTTATTTTTTGTATAACAGACGAACGGACGGACGGACGGACGGACGGACGAACGGACGAACGAACGGACAGATGCTTTAGACCGGCGCAAGGTTCCCTGTTCTGCACTTACCTTCGCCGGTGCAGAGGATCAATGCGATAAGGGTACAGCCAGTCTATAGACTATAAGTATTTTGCCTTCTAAATTGTTTTAAATTACGCGTAATGCTACGTCTATAATACGCGTGTGTGCATGGGCGCAATCGCGTGACCTGTGCGACTGTGCGCGTGTGTGTCTATTAGCATACTATAATAACCGGGGGCGTATGATAGCGGGGGGAGATGGGGCGGATGCATTCCCCAGCTTATTGACGTGGGGCGGATGGCGTGCACCAATCATCCCCCCTACTTTCAGCGAGGGAAAAATGGGATCACAATTTTCTTGGGGCAAGACCCGCAAATACCCCACCTGTTTCTTACCACTCCCCTCGAAACCTGCATTGCGCCCACCACTGTTTCCGAAGCGTAACAAATTGAAGCCACCCCCACTTCAGAAAAATCGTTCGCCGGCAACCGTGTTAGAGCTAATGCCTAACAAATATTATCATTATGAACATTTGATATTGCATATCAAAAGTCAAATTATGAGGTTCATCTGACAGGGGCGTAGATAGCGGGGGATGGTAGGTATATTCCACCACACTTATTGAGGTGGTGACTTTCATCCGCCCCCTACTTTCAGGAAGAAAATGACCGCGGAAAAAATTAATATTTTACAGACCAATAAATACTGGATATTTATCTACAAATACGTCATTGCCTATTCATACACTCCCGTAACGGATATTATTACAGAAATCGAGAACGTGACATACTCTACTGTCAAAATGGCTGCTAACTCGTTCAGAATGACTTATATTTACTGCACGGCTTAATTCGTGGGACGCATTCGCCCATTACGATTTTTTCACTTTTCAAAATCCCCATCTATCACCTGCGCACGAAACGTTAAATCCTTGCTTTATTCAAAAAAATTTAGAATGACCTATTGCAGAGTGGGATATTGATTTTTACGCGGGATTGAATGCGCGAAATTGAAATTTTATTCTAACTTGTTGAGGGAGGGGGAGTGTGCTTGGGACCCGACCGCGAAAATATTTCCCGGATTTTGTATAAGGGGGGAAAAGTATTGCACTTTTTGGCTTTCAAATCTGGTTGTTTTTTTCTCATATTGTTTTGCACGTTTTTTAACGTTCTCAGTAAAAGATACGTTTTTTTATGTTCAAAATCTGTTTTTCTCTCATCGTGCGTGCTCGGGATCATGTGCTCTCTCACTCTACTTCTCCTCTCTACTGCTTTCGTCTCTCTGTTATGTCTTTCCATACCGGCTGTCGTGCTCGCTCTGCTGTCTGTCTCTCTCTGCGTCTCTTAGCGGTCATCTCGGTCTCTCGCTCTCTCTCTCCTCTCCTCTCTCTCACGACACATTTATATCATA